TTGTTTGAATACTGCAATACAATGGACAGAATTTTAAATCTGAGACTTTGTTTCATATTAAAAGTACCAACGCACGATGCTTATTGCGATATATTGGATGGGAAGTGCCCTTCAATGTTCCGTCCATTAACTGAAAACAGGCTAGACTAATCAATTCTTGGGATTTAAGAATCGATATCGCTCCGTAAAAATTAGAATCGATTAAATTCGAGATATAAATTTTTTTTTTACCCAGCCATAAATCTTAATGTGTCTTTTCCTTTCCTTTCCAATTTCTTAAAAAAAAGAAAAAAAAAATTTTTTAATTTAATTTCTATATATTCTTTTCTTTTTTATTGTATTTTCTGTGCTTTTTTTTTTTTTTAACTCGACAGCCATGCTTGATCATAAAGAAAAAAAATTAATACATTTCAAGTTATACTCTCGGAAAGCAAATCTTAACATACTCAAATCTGCTTCTCAACATCTTGTTTTAAACATGTTAAATCTCATGTCATTTCAAACCCATATCATATTCAGGCAGGATTTTTACCTTTTTTGTTGTATGATAGCACAATTTAAAATTTTTAATGAACTGTTTCTTTAAGACGCTTTTACGCTCAGTTTCCAGAAATGCATCAAAAATGCATTTCATGCAAAAATGAGAATCGATTAATATCGATATTTTTTTACCCAGCCCTAGAAGACATAGATTGAGTGTGAAACAGCAAATGTTGATCATTTAGAGGCCTTAGAAATATGTGTCAAATATGATCCAGTATATCTTTAAGGGTTTTCTGTTTTCTGCAGCGAGTACATGTGATGGATCGTAATGTATGTGCAGTTATATTCGCTCCGTGACATTTTTCAGCCCATCAGCTTTAGCATGTTTAGCGCCTCCAGTTCTCTTCCCGGTCACTGGGGTCAGGAGCAGAGCAGGAATCATGGGTAATTCGGCCGTGGGCGCTGCATTTCTGCGTTCATTAAGGTCAAGAGCACAGCATGCAGAGGCTCGCTGTAGAGTCAGAGCGCAAGTCAATGAAGCGCCTTCAGATATGATTTGGGATTGTTTTCATTTATGAAACTTGTTTCGTGTAACCAGCAGGTGCTGATCACTGACATCGACATTGCAATGCAAAAACATGATGCTCCTCCTCAGTATTTTTGTCTTGTTTTTCCAGTACAAATATCCAAACATTCTTCAATCAAGATGCATGCATGTTATATGGTGCATATATTTAGCAAAACGCCCCTCTCTACAGTTTATTTTTCTAGCTGATTAATAAGTTTATGGTCACCGAATATGTTTTTCTGAGGTGAATGTGACGTTACGTGACATTGTTTACAAGCCGTTATAACGTATTTGCGCGGCTGAAACACTGATGAGAGATTACATGAGACAGGATACGGATTGTAAAGTTGTACTCTTTCTTTTAACTTACCTTCGGATGTTTAGTCATGTTTATTTTGTGCTATAACTAGTAATAAAGCGGAGGAGTTGATCAGTTCACTGAGGCGCTACAGCGATCTGTCACTTCACATTAAACAGCGCCAAAACGGCATTTATTGTTTGAATACTGCAATACAATGGACAGAATTTTAAATCTGAGACTTTGTTTCATATTAAAAGTACCAACGCACGATGCTTATTGCGATATATTGGATGGGAAGTGCCCTTCAATGTTCCGTCCATTAACTGAAAACAGGCTAGACTAATCAATTCTTGGGATTTAAGAATCGATATCGCTCCGTAAAAATTAGAATCGATTAAATTCGAGATATAAATTTTTTTTTTACCCAGCCATAAATCTTAATGTGTCTTTTCCTTTCCTTTCCAATTTCTTAAAAAAAAGAAAAAAAAAATTTTTTAATTTAATTTCTATATATTCTTTTCTTTTTTATTGTATTTTCTGTGCTTTTTATTGAGAGCTGAAGAAATAAAGGCTCCTCAGAAGATGTGAGATGTTCTGGAGGCTTGTGAAGATCATTCCTCCGCTGAGGAACAGTGAAAGTAAAGCTTCTGGAAACAAACGCTCCTCAAAAGATCCTGAGGATCAGATTTGAGACTCTAAAACATGATTGATGGAGAATCAAGTAAAGCTGAGCTGCTTCAGTCCAGTAAGTGTTCATCTGGAGATATTACTGCAGTTGATCAAAATCAGTCAAGATTTGACACGTGAAGCTCGAGCTGAAGCTGGACGCTTGTACAGTTACACTAAAAGAGTCCAAACTATCAATCAGAGACAGAAGACATTAGGGCTGGGTTTTGGCACAAATTTCACGATTCGATTCGATTCAATATCAATTATTTTGGATATACATATATATATCAGGTACAGTACAGTACAAAAATGTATGTAAAATATACATGAGAGTCATTACGTTACTATAATATTGAAGGTTAAAATTTACTGATTTGTTAAAATTACACTTAAT